CTTAATTTCCATGTGATTTTACCTTTAAGCATCTATGCAAACTGCGATGGAATGGACGTAAACTGGGTAAGTACATGATATTGTGCACGCAAGTGGCTAGAGTGAACAACGTGCACCAAGCACACTTAAACGGATCTTGTCTAGCCCGCCGCTTTTCGGACGTATACCCGCTTTTCAAAATTTTTTATGCCATTTTAGTCGCCTGAAAGATTCAGAAATCGCAACCACTGGCCATGGCGAAAACAAACAAATAAAGAAATCATTCACAGCTCTACACTGCAATTAGCAGAGTATCAACATCTCGGGCAAGTTACGGGTTGTACTTTGAGTTTCTCGCAATGCATATGAAAGCTCTGATTCGAAAATATGTTATTATTATGTCATCCCCGTCAACAAATATTTTAAACTGCCCAACCTTATACAACGAGTGGGCTGGTACTTTCTGTAATGCAATGATCGTTAAAACCACGTGACCTTAAATGGAAACCAAGTGCCAAGGGCGTTTTGTCACTGCCGGGCTTAGCTTTTGTCAGTCCAAAATTTGTGGTGAAAACATAGTTTAAGCTTATTAATAAACGCATTGACTCCGTTTATGTTTACAGCTTACATGCTGCAGTAAGTTATTAACAGAATTTTGAAATCATTTCGACGACCTTTAGCTTAATTTCTAATTTGAGACAGTGACCAACCAAAGAAAGGTAAGTTGAAGAGGTTACTCTATTCACAGCAAAACTTTCTCAATAATTTCTGCCTCCGTTAGACTCCAAAAACATCTCGGCATCATTATTTGCAAACAGGTTTGCACAATAAAAAGCCTATTGGATAAACAAAATCCTGTGGTGGTAAATATAAGACCGTTGGCACAAAGATGAACGATGGAAGGAATAATGGAAGGTGGAAGCCACTCAATCCTTCATTGTAAACATGAACTTGAACATGACGCCCGACTTAGAATGGAGACTAACCTAAGAAAGTGCTCTGTCATTGATACCAGGGAAAATTCACACCTTCAGGGTCATTCAAGGGACACTTATTTGAAAATAATTGTTATGTGCGTTTCTCATATGGTGTCCTCGAATTCTTTCGATTTTTGAAAATGAGATCATTTCTGGTTAATGCAAGCCGAGCACCTATTGAGTATGTCTCTTCCTCCCTATAGCCACAAACACGCCTTACAGTGACTGCATCTTGTTTTGCCTTTGGAATTCCCAAACTTCAACAGATTCAACCAATAATGAAATACCATGCATGTTCCTTAAGGCTCTATATCCTGCAGGCAGGCCCACATGAAGCCCCCCACTATGAAAACTTCAATTATCGCCGCTTTCTGGTCTGGTCCCACCTGGAAAAAAAACTGATTTGCCCTCTAGCGGTCTGCAAAACCAGTCACGAATAGTCAGTGAACTACCATATCCTCGCATATGTACATTTCTATTTGTTATTGATTTGTATTGATGAAGCGTGCGTTAGACCTCAATGAGATCAGCTTGAAAGGTGCCTCTGCGCATGTGCAGAGTTTATACGGCTAATAGCCGAGCAGGTCGAGTTTCCGCCTAGCGAAGAGAAAGGCTATGATTATCTTGGATCAAAACTTTTTTCATTCATCATTTGTCAGCCTATCCGAGTTTAATAATTCAAACATTGCGTATCATGAAAATGCCAAGATTTACTTGTTTTATTTGGATCATATTTCCGTTCTTGTCCACTTATTATGGACATTTGCTTGTACAATGAGGAAGTGTAGAATAATTTCGTAAAAACTTTAGAAAAAACTGATCAGGTTCTCTTACGAGACGCTTGTTCTGCATGGCTAGGAAAGTGTGAATAAAGTTTTAAATTGAGGCACAATTTGACCCTGTAGTTCCCGCCAAAAGTTGTATAACTTCAAGAAATAAGCGATATACCACAATATGCCTTGGAGGTAATACTCAAGGTGAAGGTCCGTTCCACAGGAGAAAAGTCTACTCGCTGACCATATTTACCATGTGCTCTGGCCACAAGTAATTAGTTTCTTGTGCAGTGGTAATACCATTACCTGTGTCTTGTTTACTGCAGTCGGTCACACAACTTGCACAAGAAAATCCCTCTGAATCAAATTAAGATGTAATTCCGCTGCAGAGTGCAGTACCCCTGGTTGGAACCCTGTGTCCCCTCCTTGCCTTCTGACGCTTTCTTGTTTTCGGATAATTTCAAGTATATACTCTGGCATGACTTAGCCCGATGGTTCGTCAATGAGCGTGGCTTAATGAAACCCAGCCCCTTAAGGGACGGGACCCATCCGTCAGCACGATAGCAGCTGGACTAGAGTCAAGTTTTACTGGCACGCATAGGCCTGTCTCAAGGGGCTATAGGCTAGTTTCCTTGAACTTGAAATTTTTCCGGCAAAAAGGGTAAAACAGAAAATTGGTAATGAAACCCCTGTCGGCGTTGTAGTAAACTTGTGTATGATGCACAACATAGAGATCAATACACAATGTGTACCAAAGTTGTTATGTCCATGGGAACTTAGGAATCAAGTGGGGTGTGCACCCCCACCCATCCATCCGCCGAACCTTATTATACTCCAACCTATACTTAGAAAGCACTAAAGACCGGCGCCGCTGCGGTAAGTACTGAGATGAGAAACTGTCACTGCATCTACGTGAGCGAACTCACGTGCACGTCTGTTTTCTAGGGGAAGCTTCGGCAAGCTTTTCGTCAAAGTCCTTCTCCAGAGACCAACTTGGGGAGATGGTACAAACTACCACTTCACAGAAAGCTTGCCGCCACCCTGATAAGTCGTACAAACCGCTCATCAGTTAAATGATTTCTCGGTAAGCGATACTTTGCCTACTTGTTGAAACAAGTCTTCATTTGTGGTTAAAGGAATCAAGAGTTGAATTTACCAAACGGAGTAGACCGACTACACCATGTCACAAATGATTACCATCCTTTTTTTATAACGTCATCCTGTTCAAGTCTATTTATAAGTTGGTAAGGGTGATGATGAAATCCTAATCCACAACGCCCGATCGTGGACAAAGCAAGGAATATTAAATGACTACACATAAATACGGTTACCAAGTGTTATTTTAGTCATAACGTCACTCCTTTTTTACATTAATCGCCTTCCTATGGGAGCTCAATGGATCGCGTCCCATCTTACTGCCATAGGAAAGAGTATGTTTCAGTAAACAAATTATGACATCATTAAGTCTCAGGTCTAACACTCGGAAAAGTTACGTAGAATTTATTTTCCTTATCGGCACATATAGATGTAGTGTCTTTTTTATTCTCTTTATTCTGTCCCATCACTCAGTTTGGTTGTAAACGTTTTTCAAGTTCACGTAAGAGGGCATGCTTAAAACCAACTCGACTTCGCCAGTAGCCATCAACTCTTGAGTGTAAATATCAACGTATTGAGTGCTGTCAACAAGCATTACACAGTACAAAGAGGATAGTGGTCTCATCATCCTGTTCTTTTCAGGACTCAGCCAAAACTAGTCTGGTGCCGGCAAACGAATGAGTGATAACGCTACTCAATGTTGCAAAACCAGAATGAGTGAAAACTGTACTCAATGTTAGCGGAACCAGACGGAGATATTTACATAGCTGGTGACCGCGCGACGACCCAGGGAAAGTCGAGAAAAGCATTTCTCTGGAAGACAAATAGCGATGAAAGACCATAAAAGAGGTCAAATTACTCCCTTCAGAGAAAGTACAGACGAATCTAGCCACTTGTCAGCATTGCGTGCCATTCTTATCAATAATGCCAGATTTTTCGGTTGTTCATTCTGAGTCAGTGGGAAATGTCAGACATTTCCGACATGAACTGTTGATTGCAAAGCTGGGTGACAGTGAGAGATTGTCCCTCTGCGGATATCTTCCTTTAGGGCTACTCGTTAAATCAATGTATAAATCAACGACAACCATACAACGGAAAGTGCCGTAGGCTGCTGGCCCCCAGTCAAAAACTGAGGTGCGTGAGCTATGTGCGCAAGCAGTTCATGCCAGAAAAGCCTAGTGAGCAGCGAATTGTCGCAATAAAATTCATAAAGGTATAAAACTTCATAATTACAAGATCTCTGATTCAGCTGGGACTTCAGGTTACTCTAGGTCCAGGTCCAAGTCCGGAGAGACCGGAGACTGTTTCAAAAGCTAAAGTTGTCTGGTTAACAAAACGAGTGGACAGACAATACGGCCGTTTCACAATAGTGCGCCACCAAGAGTTGGAACGCGTTGCCAATCACAATGCGCAAAATTTGTCGACCCAATGCGCGTTTGCAAAGGGTCAACAATTTTCGCTCGTTATGATTGGTCAACGTGTTGCAAACTCTTGGTGGCGCATTATTGTGAAACGACCGCATTGTCATGTACATGCTCTCCTCTTCGTGCTAGTCCTTTGATCAATTGTCAAGAAGAAATTAATGTTTTCCCTAACACCATCATCAGGATATCAATCATAACCTATTTATTACCGTAACACTAGACTCCGCTTGATGTTTCAAGCCTTACTTATACGGTAATCGTATTAGCAGATGTGATTTGTGATGGTTGAAATCGTGACAGAAAATTGTCTCATTTCCTATTGCACAGGGCATTGGATACAAATCGGCTTTCTGGCTGATATGCAGTGGCTAGTCATCCCTCAGACCATAGTAAAGCTTTTTACAGCAACGTAATCATTAACCTAGCACTGCAACTTTTGCCTTCACTTTACTGTGAACTAGGAAACTCTATACGGTAGATGAACTCCAATGGTTATAATGCCAACATTGATTTTCGCTCTCTTGCTGTTGTGTCTTGATGAAGTAATTTAGTGTTTCACGTAATTTGGACATGTCCTGCCTCTCGTTGTCTCTCTTCACAGTGTGTCTTTGATGTTTAATTTCCTTTTTAATCAGTCCTCCTTTTTGATGAATAGCACTTCTTCGAACTTCCAGCAACATGTGGTCCTGCTCAGCGCGTTGCAATAAAAAGTAAAGGTTTATGTGGTATGTTTTTTCTGTTTACATTTTTAGAGTGAAACACGTGAGATTTGAAGTCCCTGGAGCAGTATGATGTACGCCATCATTCCTGTCGCCATTTTCCTGCTCTGCATTGGAGCTCTCCTTATCCTTCAAGCCCTGTACCCACGACTCTGTAGCGATCTTGCGTTCATCCTTGACAAAGTCCGTATGGCAAGACACCTACAAGCCTGCGCTAGAAGGGAAATCCCCTCAACTATTGTAGATGAGTTGGAGGGTCACGCTCGATCTACTCCTGATAAGACTTTCTTAGTGTACCGCGACGTAAGGTTCACTTACGGGGAGGTCAACCGGCGAGCTAACCAACTGGCACACGCTGCTCATCACCGCGGAGTAAAGCAAGGGGATACGGTAGCGCTGTTGATCCACAACGAACCTGCTTTCATCTGGACGTTGCTTGCCTTTGCTAAGCTCGGAGTGACCTGTGCTCTTCTCAACTACAATCTGAAACCATCCAGTTTGCTTCATTGCTTCGAGGCAAGCCAAGCCAAGCTACTTGTCTTTGGCCCAGGTAAAGTTTTGAATTTTTTTATGTAAAGTACTTTTGTTGTGAACAATCGTCAGTCGCTCGGAGTATATTGAGCAAAGATAACACGCAGTTAAAAGAAAGTGGATAGCACACACCAACACGTTTGACTTTTTCAGTATGTTCCGTTTATTAGGCTAACAGATATCGTCATTCTCAGGACGCCAGCTCTCTGTTTGCTCAGTTAGATGAAATTGTGTAGTTTGTAAGCACCGTAGACCGAATAACGAAAAGGATGAATGACAGGCCATAAGACAAGTACGAGGTAGTATGTTTGAACAATATTTTTTAAAAAAATTGCAGGGGACATCCTGTTAAAGGCAGTGGTTGACATGAAGGGAGAAATGAAGTTCGATAAGGTGTGCATTTGGTCCCTGGAAAAACCTGCTGAGAAGCTGGAAGGAGTGCAGTCTATCGAGCAAATTATAGAGACCAACGTAGAGCTCAAACAGTGCGACATGGAAGCCAACTTCTCGAGGGAGATTCGTAGAGGACAACACTTCAGAGACCCCTTCGTTTACATCTACACTTCTGGAACTACAGGTTCGCCGTAATATTGTAAAAGAGAGGCTTCGCATTTGTAAAATGATCTTGTAAGGTTCCCTCTTTCAGACTGACCATGTGCTAATTCTTTTTTCCAAAAAGAATAATTTATGGGTAAGTCAGTCTCCGTGCGAATCCCCATGGTGCAACGAATTATGGAGCACGTTCAAAGGTTCCGGGTTTAAATTATCCCGGCGGGAATGGTTGTCTTTACTTTTTCTCGTAGGTTAAGTAAATATTGTAATGTCTGTTCTGCTTAATTTTTAATAAGTCATTTATACCATTCATCTATAATTTTGAATGAAATCGCTATTTTATAATAAATAATAATTATAACATAAATATCCCCACCTATAAACAAACTTTTTGATTCATTTAATCCACATTATCAGGTCTCCCTAAAGCAAGCAGAATGTCCCATTATAAAATGATGGCGGGAGGACATTTGTTGAATTGTGTCAATATGACCTCAGACGATGTCATGTACGTCACACTACCGCTCTACCACATATCAGCGCTCCTTTTTGGACTAAGCAATGTCGTCAGGAACGGTGAGCCTTGCCTTTATAAGACACAAATTTGGGGAGTTTCCTAATACATTTTCAGAATTAAGCTTTATACTATGCACGACTTAAAGTTACTGGCTGACCGAATAATTAAGTGTGGTTCGTTTCTACTGTTAAAAGAGGACGCTCACATGCTGTCTATGGTTGAGCAAGCTTAAACTTGTGCCTGATTTCATGAGACTCCATTGGATAAATTAAGATCTCAATCTGATCATTGCCCATCTTTATTTCCCATTAGGAGCATCGATGGTACTCAGGTCCAAGTTCTCTGCAACCCATTTCTGGACTGATTGCTGCAAGCATGACGTCACAATTATTATGTACATCGGAGAGCTATTCAGATATCTGCTGGCAAGACCCAAGGTAATGTGCCTTCTGTTGTAAATGGTTTGCACTATAGTTTGTTTCTGTTCCCGTAATCATGACAATTATTATAGAAATATTAGTTTGAATATACAACTATATACTGACTTTTTCAGCAACTGGCTGAGCTGCCGACAATTTTCTTCATGTTGTCATTTTCCACTTGGCAATTTGTTGCAGACACCAGAGGAGAAGCTGAACAAAGTTCGTGTGGCCGTTGGTAACGGTTTGGGAGGTGACATTTGGGGAGAAGTGATGCAAAGATATAACATTTCAAGAGTGCTGGAGACGTATGGCGCAACTGAAGCTAACTTCGGCATCATGAATGTGGACAATAAAATTGGATCCGTCGGCTGCTGGCCCCCAATGTTACGGGTGAGACCGTTTTCGAAACTTATATATCTTTGTCACCCAGAAATTTAAACATTCTTCTTCAAAATAATCAGTCAGATAATCTGTCGATTTTAGCAGGGCATTTTGGTTTTAATTTTGTTCTCCTAGATCTTCTGTCCTATTGAGCTGGTCAAATATGACTATGAGTCTGCTCAGCCTATTCGGGATGAAAATGGCAGATGCATCAAAGTCCCTCCAGGTAAGTTAAAAATGCAGCCAACTTCTACAACAAATACGGTTTAGAATTAATTAATGCAATAGTATTACTTTCGCATTGGGAAACCTTGGTAGCCTTTTGTACTTTCAGAATTTGTAAAGAAAGTACAGTATTAGTAACAAGTGACCAATGTTGGACCAGGGAACAGAAACCTGATGCGAATGGAAAGCATTATAAAGTAACTAGAGCAGACCAAATGAAATTTAATGTCAATGTTTGTGATTCTGCATTTCTATTGAAATATGCCCCGACTTAGTAATTATTTCAGTCTAAACTCTCTCTAGGTGATATCGGTCTTCTGCTGTGTCCGGTCAACAAGACATTTCCCTTGGAGGGTTATGTGGGCGAGGAAGACTTGATGCGGAGGAAGCTAGTCCGGAACGTATTGCGAGAAGGAGACGTGTACTTTAATACCGGGGACCTTTTCGTTCAAGACGAGCATTACAACCTATACTTTAAGGACAGGCTGGGAGACACATTCAGGTCAGAAAACCCTTCCTCGACTAAATCAGGAAAGGCACACTGTTATTAAGTAAGTCGGTTGAGTTATGCATCATGCCGATGCAGTCACCATGTGCCACAAAATACGACAACCGTGCTGAGATCTGAACAAGAAGCGAACAAGCACTAAAATGCGGCAATACCTAAAGAAGTCCACAGAATTCAGCTAAGTCCGAAACGGGAGAAGCTCGAACTGAAAGAAGAACGAACTTTCTTCATACTTTACTCTCTTCCAGTTATTTAAAGTAGCTAAGCATTTCTATCGTTTCTGAGTCACGAGTTCTAAGCGGGGTTTTAATAAATGTGTCTTGTTCGAAGAGCGGTAGAAATCTGTTGCACAAATTAAACTCTGGTCGACTGACATTTTTTGTTTTAATACGCAGATGGAAAGGGGAGAATGTAGCAACCACAGAAGTTGCCCAGATGTTACAGCAACATGAGGACATCTTTGAAGCCAATGTGTATGGTGTCGCCGTACCAGGTTAGTCGATTACAGAAAGCATCACCGGTTCAAAACATTTTTAGCGGAGGGAGGGGCACAGTATTGCCTTTTTATCTCCCGGTTTCCTGAGAGCAAGATCCGTCCCTATACTTAGCTTCCATCAACAATGAGGAAATCTAAATTGAAGACATTTTTTTCGAGCATTTCTGTCCAATGTGAATTATTGTTATTGAGAGGAGCTGTTAGGCACTGGTTAGCTATTGCTTTAAGAAGTAGCTGCAAGCCCGCATGCTGGTCAGCTGGTACCAGTATAGCTTAGTGGTTAAAGAGTAATTTAAAGAGTATTTGTTGGTCAAAGTGTAGCTGGAAGTCTAATAGTTGCTGGTAGTTTAACGAAAGGGAACCAATGTCGTTCACAGGTCATTACGGCAAAGCTGGAATGGCTGCCCTCCTGCTCAGCCCAAGCACAACCTTTGACCCAGTGGCCACCTTCAACTTTGTGAGATCACGCCTCCCAGACTACGCATGTCCGCGGTTTCTTCGTCTCCCCAGCACTCTAGAACACACAAGCACCTTCAAACAAACCAAATTCAGGCTCGTTCAAGAGTCCTTTGACCCTAAGCTGGTAAAAGATCCCCTGTTTTTCTTTGATACTGCAAGGAAAGAATACACAAGACTGGACGGGCCAGCTTACCTGAAGATTGTAAATGGGGATGTGCGAATATAAGCAGAAGTTGGAAATAAAATCAAACCCGAAGATTAATCCAAATACCTCCTCGAATGACTGATCAAGTGAACAACAACATCAGTCGAACTTTCATGTCATTTTTTACTGATTTATAAAAATTGCAATCCCATTCCTACCAGGATTCGAACCCAAAACCTTTGAGTTAGAAGTCCAACGCGCTAATCCACTGATTCATATGCCAAAGAATTTTTAAAATTTGAATAACTGAAATGGAACAACCCCGAATATAAACGTTTCCGAAAGTTATTTAAAAGGGGAAAGCAACAAGTTGACTCAAATTCCAAAGTTTTTAAAGAGTCAAATGCAGTATTCGTTGCGCACTGGGATTTATCTCCTTGCTGTCGGTCATCTATTCACAATTTCAAGTACACCATCATTAACCTAAGTCTAATTTACACGTTAAATTCTGTGGAAGTTGTAAAAAATGATCCCCTCTGGGATTCTAACTCGGAACTTTTGAATTAGTTCATTTGAACGTAGTAATTTGTTGGTCCATTGGATTTATTCAACCCTCGGCGCATGTTGTGAAAAAGTATTAAGGAAATAAGAGCAAAGCAGAATTTTATCCTTCAAACTTTTGCACCATAGTTATTTTATTGACTCAAAACTATTTTATATTTCTCGTAATATTTAACACCCGTAATAATTACGCATATGTAATGAAATACGTTTATATTAATTTTTACAAAGTAGTGATTGTAAATAATTGATTATTCCATGGTACATTTTTGTACATCGTTTTGTATGTCTAAATAAAAATAGCAAGTTTTCGTCATGATTATTGAGAATGTTTTACCAGGTTTTGCCTTGAACACCCCATGCACATTTTTATTCTGAACTAAACACTGGCTGTAATGTTTTTGGAGCCTCGAAACAACGTCACTGAGACGCTGTCCTGTACCTGATCACACGTCATCGTCTTGTGCTTACAATCGCTGTAAAAGGTTGTTTTGACACGATTGACATAACTGGAACTAAAAATACATCACTAGTATGATGACAGGCCTATTGAATAGTGAGTAACTTTTTACATCGAGACATAATTTTAACGACGGCTTTCCAGTCATCTGCGTGGTAATTTTTAGAATTCTTTCTGTAAACATTGTGCTCAAGATGTCTGAGAAATCGGAGGTTTACGATTATTTCGTTTTGTTCACATTGTGGTCATTGTATTACATTTATATTTCTAATACATAAGATTTTGTGATTTTTACAGGTCCAAATAAACCAACTATTTGTACAATTAATTTTGTATAATATAAAAAAATAAATAAAATGTTTTCCTTTTTCAGTGTACAACTTAGAATTGCAGGTTTGAGGAGTACATCAACAATTGGGAGACTAACATTTTTACAAGGTTTACAAAATTGTGCCATCTCAAAATATGAATGTTTTGCTTTATGCTTAGAGCAAGGACACAAATATAAGGAATTTTTACTGTCGGATAAGAGAATAGTGGCCATGAGAGTTATGGGAGCTATGTTTTGAGCGGTTAATGAAGCACCTCCTGCAATTTTGCCAAATCTTGTAACTAGAGTCGGGAATAGAATATTACAACCAATTGCTTTTAGCCATAAACACTTGAAATCCCGGTGTCTGGACAATCAATATGCGCAGTTGAAATAGTCGGTGTTTTATTCTGTGCGGTATTAAAGTTTTTGCTCCCTGCATGTTTACAAGATAGCACCCTGTAGTGGTGTTACAGCGCCGCCATGCGGCGCTGCATGTACGGTATTTGATAATGAGCAGATCATGTTAGTACTACACGACCGTGGTACGACGCGACGGTGCGCAGCATGACCTCAGCCATACGGAAAATCCTATGAAATGGCTCGTGCTGCGAAAAAACGAAGAAATGATCATGAAGCCAACTCATTTCAGCAGTCACAGAGGAAAGACTCCACGACGTTAGACTGTGAGCTTGGAACGTTTCTCAGGTGGTGCAGGGATACGGGAATTGATGTAAATAAGAAGGTCATTCTGTGGCAATCATGCAGTCAACAGCGCCACCACAGCTGCCAGTGTGACACGCAAGTAGGCATTATTGTGGTCAAAGTTAAACCGTGGCTGATTGGTGTTTTTCGCAATCTTAATTTTTCAGGACACCCCTGTCTAACGTTAGGCTCTACGTTTTTGTTTCAAACACTTTTCGAAAATATCTTAGGTCCTCCAAGCTGTGTATTGAGGCATTTTCATTATTGTCTGGCATGAGGCTAGCCCCTCTATCTAGTGTGGCACAGACTCTCACTCCTGATCCATCCTTAGCCACACATCCATATACGTTTCAACAGACATATGTAATACACGGACTGAGCGATAAGACACTACATGTGCCAATGGGCTCTTCCAAATCTTTTAGATATCTTGACATGGAAGAGCCGTCGAGACGATGAGGGGTCAAGTGACGTAATGTCCAACGACCTTATTTTAAAGATGGCGTCTGTGAGAGTGAGCCTGTTAGATTGAATGGATAAAGGCAAAAAGACTGGAAAATACCTCAATAACGTGAGTGAAATCATTCAATAAATAGTTTTTAGAAAGCAGAAAGGTCAAGAATCATGTTTGTGTGCAAAAGAAATTGCGCCCACAATGATACATGTAAGTGGGTGAGCCGAAAGTGTTCAATACGCTGACACGAAATTGCGCATACGGATGTGTGGCTAAGGATGGATCGGGGGTGAGAGTCCGTGCCACACTAGTGGGGCTAGCATGAGGCTAGCCCCAGACTGGCATGACTGGGGGCCAGTCTGCTGGACTCCCTCCCATGGGGCCCCACAACGGTCCATTCAAACAGGTGGGAACCCTGTGAAAATGCCTTCTGTGAAACCACTTTTGTGTGTATGGATCACTCTCCCCGTCAGTACTTCGATGTAATACTTTGGGTGATTTCTAGTTTGTAGAAATCCGTGAAATTTTAGGGTCAATTGGGGCCATTCGTTTACATGTACTACAGTGATCAACTCCTGATCGCTGACCAATCATGCAGATGTAAAACACAGTCGTGACCGCCGTGGGGCCTAGGATATGGAGGGAGCCCAGTATACTGGCCGCCGGTCTGGGGCTAGCATGAGGCATGTTAGGCTAGACCGGTAAATAGGCATCACAGGTCCCTTTATTACTTATGACGGAGAGGTACACAAAGGGCCCAATATGTTTGTTTACGGGAGGCCCACTAGCCCAAATTTTACAACCCACATTTAATATGTTGGAATTAGGTTAACGTTTGGGGAGTAAGGTTGGCATAGTGCCCTTCTTTCCTTGCGGTCTACCTGTGCAGTGTGGGTTCGATTCCTGGCTTGGTCCACATGTGGATTAATTTTCAGTCCCTACTTGATTCCGTGGGTTTACCAAGAAGATACCTTTGGACTTCTCCTCCCACCTCTAAACTGTAACTACTTCTCATTGCCTGCTCGAGCATGCTATGGGTTTCTTCAGGTTTGTGAGCTACAGTGCCTAGGGTGCTCAGTTGAGGAATGCTTGATGTCTTTACCAGAAATGAAAATAATAATGTAATAATAATAAATCATTGAGTTTTGCAAGTTCACAACTGAAGAACTGAATTTTTAAATGCAACTTTAGAAAAGTTTCTTAACATACATGTAATGATATACCTCTTTGCTTGCTGAATGAAATTCTTACCAACTTAATTTTGGCAGTTGAAGACATACATACATGTACAGACGATACATGATGACATGCATGACATGTTATAGACAAACCCAGCCAAATTTCAGTGAATATATTCCTGATGGCCACATATTACACGTTCCCTTTTCTGCTTCACTTACAAAATTGAAGGGGTAGTTTCTGCCTTGGTCGTCTGTAGTGCTTGGGTATGCATGTGTTTATGGTGCCTTACGGGCAGGACAAGAGAAACTACATGTACCCCTCGAGGAACAGTCCTTGTCCTAGTGGGGTATGTATACAAGAATTTCATGAAATAGATTTTGGAAATTAAAAAGGTGGAACTTCCAAGGTATACTTAGGCTATCGATTGCAAAATGAAGTACTCTACATTAGGGACATTTGTTCGAAATATTAACCCAGGAAAGAGTCTGGTTCAGATGGGAGTGACTTGGAAACTGCATTTCACGCACTGTTGTTTTAGTAACAGAGAACAAAGGAAATAACCAACGATAATATAAATGCAAGGGTCTGCAGTCTGTAAGTGTATGTCTGGATAAGTAGCTTCATAACCTGAGAACTGCTGGATGTACATTTGTACCCAGAGACGACACTGTAAAAGTCAAAATGGCTCAAATGATAGAAATCTTGCCATTGCAATAACTTAGAATTACTCGCCTTGTGGACTTCAAATGTGGTTTAAGGATTCCTCTTGCTGGTCCTAAGAAGCCCGTGGCATTTGGGGCTGACTGATTAAGGGTCAAGGTAAAACAGCCACAATGATAGAATTGTTGTCACTGGGTAGTCCTTCATCCTACCCATTAAAGATGGATCCTGTGTCCTTCCCTTTTTCAGGTGCGAGTTCACGTGGGTACAGAAGGGTCATGCATTCGTTATGGGATGATTGCCATAGACAACATTGCAGAAGGAGAGATATTGTTTACCATACCCAGAGAATGCCTTTTACATCCTGACAATTGCTCCATCACGGCATTGCTGCAACAAGGTGAGATCAGTTTGGCCTCCCCCCCAAAGCACCCATCTTTACTGGAGCTTTCCTGTTTCTTTGTTGACTAACTTCCTTACTTCAGTCTTTAAGTTTCTACAATTTGTTCCCTTCTTCATCTGCTGGTAAATGAATAAAGAAGGAAGGATGATGGTAAGAAATGAGGAATGTTGCCAGAAAATGCAGAAAGGAAGTGGAAAAAGTTACTGTAGTGTACATATACGAAAATAGGCCAGAGTGTTAAAGAAACGAAGGATGCTAGGAAGGCTACTACCATGAAGGTTTTAAGGGAGCATGACTGACTGACTGACTGACTGACTGACTGACTGATCTCCTATCCATCATGGGGATGTAGAGCCACTCAGGCCTGATGATCATGTGCGAGCTGCCACAACTGTCGTGCAATGAGTTTACGGTCAGTCTTTAGCTGGCGCACCCAAGTATTGCCTGGATGACCCCTAGAACTCTTCGAAGGAAGCATGGCAGGCCTTTAATTCAAGGAAGCAAAGATGATGTAAAGAAAACTATGAATACCAAGTAGCTACCAAGTAGTAGTTGCTCCCCACAGTCTACCTTTTCCTCTACTAATCACTGATTAACTTCCTAGGAAAGAAAATAAAATTTGTTCACAAAATCTCTGAATTTCATATTTTATTGAGATGACAGTAATAAGGTAGATGTGTAAGAATTTCATCTAAATCTTTACTCTGTTGTAAATCTCTGGTTACTTTCTTCCAGGGGAAAGTGAGCTGCAGAGTGAGAGTGGCTGGGTTCCTCTTGTTCTGTGCCTCATGTTTGAGTACACTTGTGCCGACTCTAAGTGGAGGCCATATCTGGATCTTTGTCCTGACAGAAACCAGTTAGATTTACCAATGTTTTGGGACAGGTAACTAAGCAGTAAAAATCAAGTAATTGCAGAACACTCATTTGCAGTATCACCTCAAATGTGCTAATGAATCAATCTATAGAAATGATTATGAGAACTTTTTAAAGCCAATACATTAGGTTAGTTGAATTCATCTATTTTAAAAGAAAATGCATTAGAAATGAGAAACAATTTCCAAAAAACCCAAGACAAATTACTGTACATTTTTTTTCAGTACTGGTAAATTGCTATCATTTGAGAATCAGGTAAGGCAGATGTTTTGCTTGTGCTTTTGGATTAAGTTTATCAGCAAGCTTCTTTTTTTAAAATTTAATTTTGTTTTCTTTTAAAAGAGAAACAATCAGCAAGGAATTGCAGGGAACTGGTGTTCCAGACGTGGTTTACAGAGATGTAGAGAATATCTGTCATGAGTATCATTCAGTAGCTGTACCCTTCATGAAAAAGAACCCAGAATATTTTGAGTAAGTAGCCATTCATGTATATATCAGATATTTTGGTGACTTAGCAGATAGTTGTGGGATTTTTTTCTCTTTTTTGGGGGGGTGGGGGGTTCATTAGTAAAGGGAGGAACTTGGGTCATATTGACTTGAGGAATTCTTGAGAGTTGTGGGTCCTAGAGATTTTTTGCATTGTACATAGTATTGTGTCAGTATTTGCTGGTGACACATCAATTCCACTGTTAGCTTACTAGTCTACATGTAGATGTTGGTCATCTCATGTCGTCTCTCCCTGATTGTAACTTCAGTAACAGTGGTGGTAAATGTTTAGTTCTTGGGTTTCCATCCAGAATTGAACAGCTGTTGTTTGTTTCCTCTTTCGTATTGTACTGTTAAAGTCTTAGTGTCCATACACTAGAACTTTACAGAAAATTGGTAGCCTTTGTGATGGCTTATAGCTTCACATCACCCAAGCAAACGAGTGAAAGTGCTCATGAAGAATCAGTGGATGATGATGCGGAGGAGGGGGTAGATGATGAAGCTGAAGATGTACCCACCCTGCTGACTATGATGGTACCAATGGCAGATATCTTGAACCATGTAGCTAAGAACAATGCCAGGCTACAGTTTGGTCAGTCAAGACTAAGCATGATAGCAACGAGAGATATAAACAAGGTACATATCACAGTTCTACTCCGAGTGTTTTGAGGGCATTAGTCAAATAGGGATGTTTCTTTTTTTTTCTGATAAACATTAAAAGTTCAGTGTTATCAGTAGATTCTTTACAAAAAGTGAGCTTTCTTGTCTTCATGTTCAAAAATGGAAACATTCAATCGCATTATCAGTGTGAAATGCTCACAACATTCCAAGCATCCTATACAATAGGTAGTTTTCAGCTGTGTGTCCCCACAGTTGTATGTTCCTGTGGAGAGGCCTTGTTTTGTTAGGCAAATTAGGACGGAGTTGAGGGAACATTTCTCTCTCCATAAGGCCTAAATGTGGTGTGTTTGTTCTCAACACAGTGGAGTGAGTATGTGCGTTCTGTCAGCTGTCCATTTTAAGCCTTAAAGGAACCATGGAATAGGATTTTTATGAATTGAATACGTGAAACATAGCTTTAGACACTGCATTGAATTTCCACCTCTTTTGTACCAGTAAAAGGGAGAAAATTGCAGCAATTTGGATTTGATGCTACTGAAGATTTCCATATTCATTAAAAGCATGCCGTCATTCAAGGCACAATGAGGACTGTCTCCATAACTGTGTGTACAATATATCACACTTTTCTACATTTTCTTGTGGTAGGTTTCATTTTACACTTGGTTTTCATGTTAAAAAGGTTGTTTAACCCTAACTGCCCAAAACCTGCCATACTCCAACAGCAGGTTTTGGCAGGTTTGGTA